TAGATATTATGTAATTAGGATTCCTCTTATTTCCTAATTAAACCCTACTAGGGTTTGTAACCTGTATTATAAATACCTCCTTTCGGAGAATGAAATATATCTGAAAATATTCTACCATATTGTTTGACTAGAAGATGGTGTGCAATTTTCCCATTTCATTAGGCATCAATCCATTTCCTTCCTTTTGTTTTTAGATTTCGGTGTTCTTTGAAACAGTGCTGAAATTTCTAAAGCAACATACAAAATGCTCCTTCCCTTCCTTTACCATTTGGCATGCTAACCATCAACAAGCTGATGGGGATATAAAACTAGAAGGAAAAAAAATAAAACTAGTTGGAAAGTTTTATGTGTGTAAGAGAAATTCTTATACCATGTATGTTAACATTAATATCTGCACCGTCCCGGGTCTCAACCTACAATGGTTTATGTGGCACAAAAGCTATCAGCTTAGACCATGCCTCGCCTTCCCTAACCATTTGGTATGTTGACCATCAACAGGCTAATGGGGATACAAAAATAGAAGAAAATGTGAAACTAGTTGGAAAGTATTCTATGTTTAAGATAAACTTTATAAACCTGTGCTTGATCTGTAAGATTGAAAGAGAGTGGCCATGTAAATTGTTTGCAAATTCATGTCTATCTCTGCTTTAAGCTATTAAGTTTGTTGATTGTAATCATCTTTACCCTCGCATCGCATGTTTGGCTTTTATGAAGTAACCGAATGCACTTGCTCTGTTAGGCAGAGCAATTACTATTGCCCAATATTTGGCTCAGCATGTTAAAAAAGAGTAAAAGAAACATTAGTAGTTAAAAGTGTGTGAAGCAGCTGATTATAGCAGTTAAAGATTTTCCTTTTATCAATATAAGAACCTTTTTTCTTGTACTACTAGTTTTGAATAGCATGCTGGTCCAACGATGCCTAAATTGCAACTTTCCCTTCACCTAGACAATAACATGTTGAAGGGAAATGCACTTATAATATTATGATATAATACGACAGTCGTTCACACATACGTAATTGGAATACTAAGTTATGGTTAGAAATTCTAAAATGTGGGATTGGAGTTTTTTCTTTGTCTATGTAAAGAAAGGAACTAATGTGAAACTGAGAATGAAGATCAACGGAAGGTTCAATGTAGTCAATCGTCCTACTAATGACAGCCAACATTGTGCGTGTGAACGTTCTTGCTCTTTTCACGATTTTGGATCCTAGAGGAAGACCAAACTTGGACAGATGAATAACCAAAGTTTTGAGAATGAAATTTCAGTTGAGTTGTTTATATGCGTATGATTTATTCCTGACTACTTTTGTTTGTGATTTGCTACTTATTTGGTTACTTAGGCACCTTGGAAATGTTCTAATTTACTATCTAATAATTGTTGCATATGATGGGTGCTTGAATTCATAAGTGGAAGATGTTGGTATATGTGGGTACAATATTTGGTTAACTTAGGCAATTTCCTAAGATTTGCTGACGTTGACTATGGTGAAGGGAAATGACCAAGGCAATTTCCCTTCACATACGTAGATGTTAAGTTGACTGCTTGAGAACAATTGTGAATATTTTTCTGAGTCTTCACCTACGGGCTAGACTTTTATTCAGTTTGGAATAATGGCTGGGCCATGCTTAACTTCCTCAGCTCATTCATAATAGAACTTAACATAGGGGCTAGACTTTATATTTTTCTGTTTCCCTTTTTTATTTTTCTGTTTTATGTTAAATGAAATTTCTAACTTAACACACGGGCTAGACTTTATATTATGTCCTGAGAAATGGCTGGGGCCAAGGGAAAACTAGACCACGCCAGTCATGTATCATCCACCTATATTTTAACATGTAAATTAATAGATGATGTGATTATAACACTCAAAAAAAAAAAAATCCAAATTCTCCCAAAGTGTTTCACTAGCACACCCTAAGAGATACAAAGTTTTGATGAAATTTAATTATTATATTGTGATTTTAAATACGATAATCGTTCACATGCACATAAATAGAAATTCTATAATGTGGGGTTGTATTTTTCGTGTGTGTGTAGAGAAACAAATGGCTGGGGCCAAGGGAAGGGAAGACTAGACCAGGCTACTCAAGTGGAGGAAACCTTACAACCACACAACTTTTGATTATGAAAGTTGAGAAGAAGCCCTCCAAGGGCAGGCAAATGGCTGGGGCCAAGGGCAGGCAATAATCCCTCCAAATCTGGGTAACAGACTCAACACCATGGAAGGAGTTGAGAAGAAGCCTCCTCCGTTTCTTCTTCTTCATATTTTCATGAAACGCACATCCAAATGTTTTTTCGGGTTATTTGTAACACGTGTCTCTAACATGCATCAGATCCTATAACCCCATATGCTTAGTCAACGTTTGATATTGTTACTAGCAATCTACACATGAGCTATGCATGTGGAGGCAGTGATTGCTGGATAAATGAGAAAATAATACAGAGGAAAAATAAAGTAGTGAGAGAAAATTTGGATGAATTATATGCTTTTGTTAAATCAGTTGTGAATTATTGTTGTACCCTTAATATATTATTGTTGAGAAAGTAAAAAAATTTCTCTATAGATTGTATTAATTTAAATTTTACAAAATTTTACTTTAATTTTAAATTATTTATTAATATTTTAGTTGAAATAAACTGCTTTAACCCTTATGGCATGTTTACTTATAAAGAATGGGTATTTGAATGATTCAAATTCCTACTTTTTCTGTGTTTACTAACACATGGAATGATTCCAATTCATGACTTCCCATGCATTTACTATAACACATAAGGAATAAAAGATTATGTGGGTTCCACATTAAAATCCATAATCGAATGCCCTCAAAATTGGGAATGAAATCAACTAGGAGGGAGTAGTTGATCTGATTCTCATACCTTGATTACCCCATCTAAGTTCCCCGATTCATGACTTCTCCCATCCTCGGTAAGTAAAAATTAAATTGACGGTCAAAATGTGAGGAACGACTCAATTGGAATGAATGAGAAAGTTGGATAATCTTGGAAATGTTGCAGTTTACTAACTAATTAATAAAATTTTGAACTTGCTATTTGGGATTTCATTCTCCTCAATTTTACAATCTTTCTTGTCGTAGTACTAGTTTTGAGTAGCATGTTGGTCCAATAATGCTTAAATTACAAATTTCCTTTCACCTACCTAGACAACAACATGTTGAAAGAAAATGTAACGAGTAGTTCACACGTGGGTACATGAATATGATGCAATCATGGTAAATTATGTTTATAGACTCTATAAAACTGAAAATGAAGAAAACTCAAGGTGCTACGTACCTAGTCGTCCTCCAAGTATTAACCAATGCTAAAGATTTGCTGACTTTGACTATGGTGATCATAGTTGAAAGATGACTGAGGAAGTTTCCCTTCATTTGTAAATTTTGAGCTGACTGCCTGAAAACAATTGGGAATATTTTTCTCAGTCTTCACATACGAGCTAGACTTTTATTCAGTTTGGAATAATGGCTGGGCCATGGATAACAGATAAGTGTGATGTGTATAGCTTTAGAGTGGTGGCACTGGAAGTTATGATGGGAAGGCACCGAGGGGATATGTTAGAATCCCAGCTAACAGAATCATCAAAGCCAATGAAGGACAATGCAGAATTGCTATTGAAAGATATATTGGACCGAAGGCTAGAGGCTCCAACCAATGAATTGGCAAAAGCTGTGGTGCTTGTGATGAGTTTAGCCTCTTGGTTTGTATACGTACGCATCCCACTCGACCTACGATGGTTATGTGGCACAAAAACTATCAGCTCATTCCCTACCTCGCCTTCCTTCCTGAACCATCAACAGGCTAATGGGGGCTACTAAAATAGAAGAAAAATGTGAAACCAGTAGGAAAATTCAAAAACTTGTGTTTAAGTTGTGAGGGCAATAATTTGTTTGCAAATTTCACCGTTTTATCCATGCCTATCTGCTTTAAGCTCTTAATTTTGTTGGTTATATATCGTCAAAGGTTGCTTATATTTATATGGATTGTATACTGTAAGACTGAACAATTTAAAAGAAAATTAAATCGAAACTTTAATAGTAACTGAACAACATTGAGTTTTTGTGATAATGTTGTAAAGAAAAGAAATCAAATTTAGGTTGTGAACCTTTTGTACTATTCAGCAATTACCACAGTTGTGAGCTTTTCGGAACAATATTTATAACCTATTAACCTAGGCCAGTTTTCAATATGTAAGAAACTAAAACAGTCAAACTACTCCTATGAACTCAATGGGGAAACTGCCTCTGTCTTTGTCCAATTTGAGGAGCTGGCATCAAAAGCTTCACCGAGTCGACCCATAAAAAGGCACATGCTGGCCGCTCTGAGATGCTATTGGAAAAGTAAGGTTTTTGTAAGTTTCAGTTGAGTTGTTTATATGCATATGATTTATTCCTGACTCCTTTTGTTTGTGATTTGCTACTTATTTGGTTACTTAGGCACCTTGGAAATGTTCTAATTTACTATCTAATGATGGGTGCTTGAATTCATAAGTAGAAGATATTGGTATATGTGGGTACAATATTTAGTTAACATAGGCAATTTACCAAGATTTGTAGATTTTAAGTCGACTGCTTGAGAACAATATTGTGAATATTTTTCTCAGTCTTCACATACGGGCTAGACTTTTCTTCAGTTTGGAATAATGGATACGACGAACACACGCCTGGTTTTCTGTTTTTTGTAAAATGAAATTTCTAACTTAATATGGGGGCCAGACTTTATATTATGTCTATACACATTAATTCCACTGAGTTTCTTGCTTTTTCTTCAACTGACTCTACGACTCTGATGACTCTGATGACTATGAGAAATTGCAGGGCACAAGTCTAGTTGACCCAAAGATTTTTATTAGTTTAGCCGCGTGGAAATAAAGCTTTCGACCAAAAATAATGCAAATTACAAGTGAATTTTAAGAACGAAAATGATAACAATAAGAATCAACCTTCTATAAAGCTTGGAACATAACATTAACTCCTCAAACCACCATGGAAGGACGAGTTTTCTCTGCTCAGAACCCTACTTTTCTTCTTCTTCTCCTTCATATTTTCCTGCTTGCTTTGCTTCCATTCAAGGCCATTTCATCACCAAAAACACAGGCAGAAGCTTTGCTAAGTTGGAAGAACACCTTTGATTTTTCTTATGCACCATCTTCTCTCCCTTCATGGTCCCTCACTAACCTCAACAATCTTTGCAACTGGACTGCCATTGTTTGTGACCAGAGCAGCAAACAAGTTTCCCAAATTGACCTCTCCTACTTCGACATCTCTGCAACACTAACCCATTTCAACTTCACCCCATTTCTCAATCTCACCCAATTCAACCTCAATGGCAACAATTTCAGAGGGCCTATACCGTCTGCCATTGGCAACCTCTCCAAGCTCACAACTTTGGACTTGGGCGACAACTACTTTGAACAAGAAATATCTGTGGAGATAGGCAAGTTAACAGAGCTCAAGTATCTGAGTTTCTGATCAAGAAATACCTGTGGAGATAGGCACGTTAACAGAGCTCAAGTATTTGAGTTTCTTCAACAACAGTCTTAGTGGTACTATTCCCTATCAGCTCAGCAATCTCCAAAAGGTACAGTTTTTGATTCTTGGAGCAAACTACTTACTAGAAAATCCTGACTGGTCTAAATTTTCAGGCATGCCTTCTTTGACATACCTTGATCTTTCTCTAATGAGTCTTTCTTCAGAATTCCCAGAATTCATATCTAAATGTTTGAACTTGACATTCCTTGACTTGTCTCGAAATTTATTTATTGGCCAAATACCAGAACAAGTATTTACCAATCTGAGCAAGCTTGAATATCTCAATCTCACCAACAACTACTTCGAAGGACCACTGCCATCAAACTTTCCCAAGCTTAAACACCTTCGTTTAGCACAAAACAACTTCGGTGGTGCTATTCCTGAAGATATTGGTTTAATATCTGGTCTTCAGCGTATTGACTTGGCTTGGAATTCCCTTGAAGGGCCAATTCCACCTTCTATAGGCCAACTCAGAGAGCTTCAGTACCTTGATCTTCACAAGAATTCCTTAAACTCTTCAATCCCATCTGAGCTTGGTCTTTGTACCAGCCTCACCTACTTGGATCTTTCGAGTAACCAGCTCTCTGGGTCAATTCCTTTAACACTCAGCAAACTTCCATTTATTCAGAGCTTAAATCTTTCTAACAATCTCAATGGCCCATTCCCGCTCATGAAGAATTTTGATTTGTCTAATAACAATTTCACATGGGAATTCCAAAAAGACCCCGACAATACTTTTGTTGGAAACTCTGGCTTGTGTGGAGATGCCAGGGGACTAACTAGAGCGTGCAATTCCAACATAAATAACAACAAAGTTATAATTGGTGTCCTTGTGCCTGTTTGTGGTTTATTAGTGGTTGCAACTGCGATTGCTCTGATTCTTATGTTCCATAAGAAAACCAGGCGTGTTCTTAAGAAAGTCAATAGTGCTCAAAACTTTGAGAATTTTGAGTCAATGATATTGCAAGAAGAAGTAAAATTTACGTTTGGGGAAGTTGTAAAGGCCATAGACAATTTTCATGAGAAGTACTGTATTGGAACAGGAGGATTTGGAAGAGTATACAAGGCAGAGTTGCTATCAGGTCAAGTTGTCGCAGTTAAGAGGCTTAACACGTCAGACTCTAACGACATTCCAGCAATCAATCTCCAAAGTTTCGAGAATGAAATCCGAACTCTGACAAATGTCAGGCATAGGAATATCATTCGGCTATATGGGTTCTGTTCAAGGAAGGGATGCATCTTCTTGCTCTATGAATATTTAGAGAGAGGCAGCTTGGGAAAGGCATTGTATGGGGTTGATGGGGTAACTGAACTTGGATGGGCTACAAGGGTCAAAGTTGTGAAAGGATTAGCTCATGCACTTTCTTACTTGCACCATGACTGCTCTCCACCAATTGTGCACCGTGATGTAACTGTGAACAATGTATTGCTCGAGTCAGATTTCGAAGCCCGACTTTCTGATTTTGGAACAGCAAGACTGATTAGTGCCAATTCATCCAACTGGACCCATATTGTTGGCTCATTTGGTTACATGGCCCCAGGTAACATACCAATTTAATTTTGTTCATTTTTGGATCATATTTTGGTGACTGAGATATGTTTTGAAGATATTTGGTTTGTTTTTCTCTTCATGTGCAGAGCTTGCATTGACAATGCGAGTCACAGATAAGTGTGATGTGTACAGCTTTGGAGTGGTGGCACTGGAAGTGATGATGGGAAGGCACCCAGGGGATCTGCTAGAATCCCAGCTATCAAAATCATCACAATCAATGAAGGAGGACAATGCAGAGTTGCTTTTGAAGGATTTGTTAGACCAAAGGCTGGAGGCTCCAAGCAATGAATTGGCAAAGGCAGTGGTGCTTGTGATGAGTTTAGCCTTGGGTTGTATACGTACGCGTCCCGGGTCTCGACCTACAATGCTTTATGTGGCACAAAAACTATCAGCTCAGAGTCTGCCTTCCCTTCTTGAACCATTTGGCATGCTAACCATCAACAAGCTGATGGGGATATAAAACTAGAAGGAAAAAAAATAAAACTAGTTGGAAAGTTTTCTGTGTGTAAGAGAAATTCTTATACCATGTATGTTAACATTAATATCTGCACCGTCCTGGGTCTCAACCTACAATGGTTTATGTGGCACAAAAGCTATCAGCTTAGACCATGCCTCGCCTTCCCTAACCATTTCGTATGTTGACCATCAACAGGCTAATGGGGATACAAAAATAGAAGAAAATGTGAAACTAGTTGGAAAGTATTCTATGTTTAAGATAAACTTTATAAACCTGTGCTGATAAACTTTATAAACCTGTGCTTGATCTGTAAGATTGAAAGAGAGTGGCCAATAAATTGTTTGCAAATTCATGTCTATCTCTGCTTTAAGCTATTAAGTTTGTTGATTGTAATCATCTTTACCCTCGCATCGCATGTTTGGCTTTTATGAAGTAACCGAATGCACTTGCTCTGTTAGGCAGAGCAATTACTATTGCCCAATATTTGGCTCAGCATGTTAAAAAAGAGTAAAAGAAACATTAGTAGTTAAAAGTGTGTGAAGCAGCTGATTATAGCAGTTAAAGATTTTCCTTTTATCAATATAAGAACCTTTTTTCTTGTACTACTAGTTTTGAATAGCATGCTGGTCCAACAATGCCTAAATTGCAACTTTCCCTTCACCTAGACAATAACATGTTGAAGGGAAATGCACTTATAATATTATAATATTATGATATAATACGATAGTCATTCACACGTACGTAATTGGAATACCAAGTTATGGTTAGAAATTCTAAAACGTGGGATTGGAGTTTTTTCTTTGTCTATGTAAAGAAAGGAACTAATGTGAAACTGAGAATGAAGATCAACGGAAAGTTCAATGTAGTCAATCGTCCTACTAATGACAGCCAACGTTGTGCGTGTGAATGTTCTTGCTCTTTTCACGATTTTGGATCCTAGAGGAAGACCAGACTTGGACAAATGAATAACCCTCAGAGTCAGAGGTAGGAAACTTACAACATTTGACTCCAGATTTGAATCTTTCAGGGCCAATTCCTAAAACTCCATTAATCCCATTTCCCAACAAGTTTTAGTTGAAAAAGTTCACATGGACATTTCTTCAACGTGAAGGATTTGTTAGACCAAAGGCTGGAGGCTCCAAGCAATGAATTGGCAAAGGCAGTGGTGCCTGTGATGAGTTTAGCTTTGGCTTGTATAAGTACGCGTCCCGAGTCTCGACCTACGTACAATACTTATTTGGTTACTTAGGAACCTTGGAAATGATCTAATTTACTATCTAATTACTATCTAATGATGGGTGCTTGAATTCATAAGTAGAAGATATTGGTATATGTGGGTACAATATTTGGTTAACTTAGGCAATTTATTTCCTAAGATTTTGCTGACGTTGACTATGGTGATCAGAAATGACCAAGGCAATTTCCCTTCACATACGTAGATTTTAGGTTGACTGCTTGAGAACAATTGTGAATAGTTTTCTCGGTCTTCACATACGGGCTAGACTTTTATTCAGTTTGGAATAATGGATGGGCCATGCTTAACTTCCTCAGCTCATTCATAATAGAACTTAAACATAGGGGCTATAGACTTTATATTTTTCTGTTTCCCTTTTTTATTTTTCTGTTTTATGCTAAATGAAATTTCTAACTTAACACACGGGCTAGAATAATGCTTAAATTACAAATTTCCTTTCACCTACCTAGACAACAACATGTTCAAAGAAAATGTAACGAGTAGTTCACACGTGGGTACATGAATATGGTGCAATCATGGTAAATTATGTTTATAGACTCTATAAAACTGAAAATGAAGAAACTCAAGGTGCTACGTACCTAGTCGTACTCCAAGTATTAACCAATGCTAAAGATTTGCTGACTTTGACTATGGTGATCAGAATTGAGAGATGACTGAGGAAGTTTCCCTTCATTTGTAAATTTTGAGCTGACTGCTTGAAAACAATTGGGAATATTTTTCTCAGTCTTCACATACGAGCTAGACTTTTATTCAGTTTGGAATAATGGCTGGGCCATGGATAACAGATAAGTGTGATGTGTATAGCTTTAGAGTGGTGGCACTAGAAGTTATGATATGTTAGAATCCCAGCTAACAGAATCATCAAAGCCAATGAAGGGCAATGCAGAATTGCTTTTGAAAGATGTATTGGACCAAAGGCTGGAGGCTCCAACCAACGAATTGGCAAAGGCGGTGGCGCTTGTGATGAGTTTAGCCTTGGTTTATATACGTACGCATCCCGGGTGTCGACCTACGATGGTTTATGTGGCACAAAAACTATCAGCTCATTCCCTGCCTCGCCTTCCTGAACCATCAACAGGCTAATGGGGGCTACTAAAATAGAAGAAAATTGTGAAACTAGTAGGAAAATTCAAAAATTTGTGTTTAAGTTGTGAGGGCAATAATTTGTTTGCAAATTTCAACGTTTTATATCCATGCCTATCTCTGCTTTAAGCTCTTAATTTTGTTGGTTATATATCGTCAAAGGTTGCTTATACTTATATTTATATGGATTGTATACTGTAAGACTGAATAATTTAAAAGAAAATTAGATCGAAACTTTAATAGTAACTGAACAACATTGAGTTTTTGTGATAATGTTGTAAAGAAAAGAAATCAAATTTAGGTTGTGAACCTTTTGTACTATTCAGCAATTACCACAGTTGTGAGCTTTTCGGAACAATATTTATAACCTAATTAACCTAGGCCAGTTTTCAATTGTGAATATTTTTCTCAGTCTTCACATACGGGCTAGACTTTTCTTCAGTTTGGAATAATGGCTGGGCCATGCTTAACTTCCTCAGCCCATTCATAGTAGATACGACGAACACACGCCTGGTTTTCTGTTTTTTGTAAAATGAAATTTCTAACTTAATATTATGTCTATATATGTCTCTGATGACTATGAGAAATTGCAGGGCACAGAAAATTTCACAGGGTTTATACCGTCTGCCATTGGCAACCTCTCCAAGCTCACAACTTTGGACTTGGGCCACAACTCTTTCGATCAAGATATACCTGTGGAGATTGGCAAGTTAACAGAGCTCAAGTATTTGAGTTTCTTCAACAACAGTCTCACTGGTGTAATTCCCTATCAGCTCAGCAATCTCCAAAAGGTACAGTTTTTGATTCTTGGAAGAAACAACTTCTTCTTAGAAACTCCTGACTGGTCTAAATTTTCAGGCATGCCTTCTTTGACATACCTTGATTTTCAGAAGTCCCAGACTTCATATCCTGAAGATTCAGAATCCCCAGAATTCCCTGAATTTATATCTAAATGTTTGAACTTGACATTCCTTGACTTGTCTGGAAATTTCTTTACTGGCCAAATACCAGAACAAGTATTTACCAATCTGGGCAAGCTTGAATATCTCAATCTCACCAACAACCAATTCGAAGGACCACTGCCACCAAAATTTCCCGAGCTTAAACACCTTCATTTAGCACACAACAACTTCGGTGGTGCAATTCCTAAAGATATTGGTTTGATATCTGGTCTTCAGCGTATTGACTTGGCTTGGAATTCCCTTGAAGGGCCAATTCCATCATCTATAGGCCAACTGAGGGAACTTCAGTACCTTGATCTTCACATGAATTCCTTAGACTCTTCAATCCCTTTTGAGCTTGGTCTTTGTACCAACCTCACCTACTTGAACCTGAGTTACAATCACCTTGAAGGGAAAATTCCACCTTCTATAGGCCAACTGAGGGAACTTCAGTACCTTGATCTTCACATGAATTCCTTAGACTCTTCAATCCCTTTTGAGCTTGGTCTTTGTACCAACCTCACCTACTTGAACCTGAGTTACAATCACCTTGAAGGGAAAATTCCACCTTCTATAGGCCAACTCAGAGAGCTTCAGTACCTTGATCTTCACATGAATTCCTTAGACTCTTCAATCCCATCTGATCTTGGTCTTTGTACCAACCTCACCTACTTGGCCCTGGCTTCCAATAAACTCAATGGGGAACTGCCTTCCATTGTCTTCACCTTGTCTCCTTGCCACGGTAGGTTTTGGTTTTTAAATATATCCCAAGGCTGCTTTGACACAGAAAATTCCACTTAACTAAAGTAAATTATTGTTACCAAATGGCATGGTAACAAGTAGAAGTAAGATCACACCAAGTTGGGGTAAAATTGGTCCAAAGAGATTTCCAAAGTTGGGATCAATTGCTGGATCGGGTGGGTGGGCAATACTTGCTCAATGGAGCCCAAATTCGGATATGTTGTAGTCAACATCCATTGGAACAAGTTTCATGAAGTTCTTCACCTCATTCGAGCACGGGAGCATGCTGATCCAAGGCCAAGAAGTTGACCTACGAAAATGAACAAAATCAGAATTTATAACCAATAATGCACTTTTAGCTCATTTTCATTCTAATCAAGGCAAAATCTAAGAAAACACAAAAGGAAGTAAAAAGCTATAAAATGTCAAGAACTAACTCAAAATAATGGGTGAATAACATGAAAAATCATGTGTAAAAATGAACCGAACATTCACCTAGCCCACGCCCACCCTAAGAATAATAAAATGTTGAACTTGCTATTTGGGACTTCAATGTTGATGCAGTGTGATAATATAGAAGACAATCAAACGATTAGCTTAAAAGAACCCAAGCATGGAATCCACCATATATGAGAAAACCTTAAGTTTATTGAATTCATAATGATAGCATAATGCCCTAACCACGGGCTAAAGTTGGTTTAAATACTCCTAGAAACCCTATGATTAAAAAGGGAAATTAACACAAGTTTCCAAAAACTAGCAAAATACTAAAATACTTTTTTTGGGCTGCTAAATGATCTCAAACGCTCAAAAAAATCTCATAATCATGGCAAATTGATGAGTTTTGCTTGTGATGCCCTTTTCTTCAAAACAGTGGGTCATGGGCCTAAATCCGAACTTTAGCATGTTGGTATAACAATGTTTTAAATTGCAAATTTCCTTTCAACATGTTGAAAGGAAATATAATTCTCATATAAGATATTCGGTCACACACATAAACAACTCTAATGTAATTAAAATATCAAATTATGGTTAGAAACACTATAACGCGGGTGGTTTTTGTTTTGTTTTTTTGTTGTCCGTGTAGAGAAGCTACTGTGAAATTGAAAATGATGATCAAGATATGAAAGCTACCCTGTTTTTCTAAGTCAAGAGCAACTTTAATTACTTGTCAAAAGTTGGTTGGATACAGTAAGCCCTCAATTTACACGGCTTTGACGAGCAGCAATTTACACGACTTATGAAGACCCTACCAAGAAGAGAGGAAAAAAAACAAAAGTAAGATGAGTTGTTAGTAGTTCAATTTTATATTTATTATTATTATTAAAGTAGTTCAATTTTATATGGAATCAATTTTTAAAGTAGTTGCATCTTGGAAATGTTGTAGCTTACTAACTAATCAATTAATTGTACATAGAATCATGGGTGCTTGAATTCATAAGAAAATATAATCGTAGGGGCTAGACTTTATATTCCGTCCGGACAAATGGTTGGGGCCAAGGGAAGGGAAGACTAGACCAGGCCAGTCAAGTGGAGGAAACCAACCACACAACTTTTGTTAACATTAACATCTGCAGAGTCCCGGGTCTCTACCTACAATTACTTATTTGGTTACTTAGGCAGCTTGGAAATGTTGTAATTTACTATCTAATAATTGTTACATATGATGGGTGCTTGAATTCATAAGTAGAAGATATTGGTATATGTGGGTACAATATTTAGTTAACTTAGGCAATTTCCCTTCATTTGTAGATTTTAAGCCGACTGCTTGAGAACAATATTGTGAATATTTTTCTGAGTCTTCACATACGGGCTAGACTTTTCTTCACATACGGGCTGCGCCATGCTTAACTTCCTCAGCCCATTCATAGTAGATACGACGAACACACGCCTGGTTTTCTGTTTTTTGTAAAATGAAATTTCTGACTTAATATAGGGGCCAGACTTTCTATTATGTCTATATACATTAATTCCGCTGAGTGTCCTGCTTTTTCTTCAACTGACTCTATGACTCTGATGACTCTGATGACTATGAGAAATTGCAGGGCACAAGTCTAGTTGACCCAAAGATTTTTATTAGTTTAGCCGCGTGGAATTTTAAGAACGAAAATGATAACAATAAGAATCAGCCTTCTATAAAGCTTGGAACATAACATTAACTCGTCAAACCACCATGGAAGGACGAGTTTTCTCTGCTCAGAACCCTACTTATCTTCTTCTTCTCCTTCATATTTTCCTGCTTGCTTTGCTTCCATTCAAAGCCATTTCATCACCAAAAACACAGGCAGAAGCTTTGCTAAGTTGGAAGAACACCTTTGATTTTTCTTATGCACCATCTTCTCTCCCTTCATGGTCCCTCACTAACCTCAACAATCTTTGCAACTGGACTGCCATTGTTTGTGACCACAGCAGCACACAAGTTTCCCAAATTGACCTCTCCTACTTCGACATCTATGCAACACTAACCCATTTCAACTTCACCCCATTTCTCAATCTCACCCAATTCAACCTATCTGGCAACAATTTCACAGGACCTATACCATCAGCCATTGGCAACCTCTCCAAGCTCACAACTTTGGACTTGGGCCACAACTTCTTCAGTGGAGAAATACCTGTGGAGATAGGCATGTTGACTGAGCTTAAATACCTTGATCTTAGAGAGAATTCCTTAAACTCTTCAATCCCTTCTGAGCTTGGTCTTTGTACCAACCTCGCCTACTTGGACCTGGCTTCCAATTCCCTTGAAGGGAAAATTCCATCCTCTATAGGCCAACTCAAAGAACTTCAGTACCTTGAGCTTAGAGAGAATTCCTTAAACTCTTCAATCCCTTCTGAGCTTGGTCTTTGTACCAACCTCACCTACTTGAACCTGATTTCCAATCACCTTGAGGGGAAAATTCCACCTTCTATAGGCCAACTGAGGGAACTTCAGTACCTTGATCTTCACATGAATTCCCTAGACTCTTCAATCCCTTCTGAGCTTGGTCTTTGTACCAACCTCACCTACTTGAACCTGATTTCCAATCACCTTGAGGGGAAAATTCCACCTTCTATAGGCCAACTGAGGGAACTTCAGTACCTTGATCTTCACATGAATTCCCTAGACTCTTCAATCCCTTCTGAGCTTGGTCTTTGTACCAACCTCACCTACTTGAACCTGATTTCCAATCACCTTGAGGGGAAAATTCCACCTTCTATAGGCCAACTGAGGGAACTTCAGTACCTTGATCTTCACATGAATTCCCTAGACTCTTCAATCCCTTCTGAGCTTGGTCTTTGTACCAACCTCACCTACTTGAACCTGATTTCCAATCACCTTGAGGGGAAAATTCCACCTTCTATAGGCCAACTGAGGGAACTTCAGTACCTTGATCTTCACATGAATTCCCTAGACTCTTCAATCCCTTCTGAGCTTGGTCTTTGTACCAACCTCACCTACTTGAACCTGGCTTCCAATTCCCTTGAAGGGAAAATTCCATCCTCTATAGGCCAACTCGGAGAGCTCCGGCACCTTGATCTTCAAAACAATTCCTTAAACTCTTCAATCCCATCTGAGCTTGGTCTTTGTACCAACCTCACCTACTTGGCCCTGACTTCCAATAAACTCAGTGGGGAACTGCCTCTGTCCTTGTCCAATCTGAACAACATCACCCATCTGAGTTTATTTGCTAATCGGTTTACCGGACCACTCTTGCCTTCTTTGCTCTCCAATTGGACCAAAGTGGCCCATTTGCTACTTCAACACAACAGCTTCAGTGGGAATATTCCACCAGAAATAGGAAGATTATCAAATTTGATTGACTTGGATCTTTCGAGAAACCAGTTCTCTGGGTCAATTCCTCTAACACTATGGAAACTTCGAAATATTCTGAGCTTAAATCTTTCCTACAACAATCTCAATGGCCCATTCCCGGAGAATATTGATTTCCCATTCCCGGAGAATATTGATTTGTCTAATAACAATTTCACACAGGCAGAAGCTTTTTTAAGTTGGAAGATCACCTTTGCTTCTGCACCACCTTCTCTCACTTCATGGTCCCCCACTAACCTCAACAATCTTTGCAACTGGACTGCCATTGTTTGTGACCACAGCAGCAAACAAGTTTCCCAAATTGACCTCTCCAACTTCAACATCTCTGCAACACTAACCCGTTTCAGCTTCACCCCATTTCTCAATCTCACCCAATTCAACCTATCTGGCAACAATTTCACAGGACCTATACCATCAGCCATTGGCAACCTCTCCAAGCTCACAACTTTGGACTTGGGCCACAACTTATTCAGTCAAGAAATACCTGTGGAGATAGGCATGTTAACAGAGCTCAGGTATCTGAGTTTCTACAACAACGGTCTTAGTGGTACTATTCCCTATCAGCTCAGCAATCTCCAAAAGGTACAGTTTTTGATTCTTGGAGCAAACTACTTATTAGAAAATCCTGACTGGTCTAAATTTTCAGGCATGCCTTCTTTGACATACCTTGATTTTTCTCTAAACAGTTTTAATTCAGAATTCCCAGAATTTATATCTAAATGTTTGAACTTGACATTCCTTGACTTGTCTGGAAATTTCTTTACTGGCCAAATACCAGAACAAGTATTTACCAATCTGGGCAAGCTTGAATATCTCAATCTCACCAACAACCAATTCCAAGGACCACTGCCATCAAACTTTCCCAAGCTTAAACACCTTCATTTAGCACAAAACAACTTCGGTGGTGCTATTCCTGAAGATATTGGTTTAATATCTGGTCTTCAGCGTATTGACTTGGCTTGGAATTCCCTTGAAGGGCCAATTCCACCTTCTATAGGCCAACTCAGAGAGCTTCAGTACCTTGATCTTCACAAGAATTCCTTAAACTCTTCAATCCCATCTGAGCTTGGTCTTTGTACCAGCCTCACCTACTTGGATCTTTCGAGTAACCAGCTCTCTGGGTCAATTCCTTTAACACTCAGCAAACTTCCATTTATTCAGAGCTTAAATCTTTCTAACAATCTCAATGGCCCATTCCCGCTCATGAAGAATTTTGATTTGTCTAATAACAATTTCACATGGGAATTCCAAAAAGACCCCGACAATACTTTTGTTGGAAACTCTGGCTTGTGTGGAGATGCCAGGGGACTAACTAGAGCGTGCAATTCCAACATAAATAACAACAAAGTTATAATTGGTGTCCTTGTGCCTGTTTGTGGTTTATTAGTGGTTGCAACTGCGATTGCTCTGATTCTTATGTTCCATAAGAAAACCAGGCGTGTTCTTAAGAAAGTCAATAGTGCTCAAAACTTTGAGAATTTTGAGTCAATGATATTGCAAGAAGAAGTAAAATTTACGTTTGGGGAAGTTGTAAAGGCCATAGACAATTTTCATGAGAAGTACTGTATTGGAACAGGAGGATTTGGAAGAGTATACAAGGCAGAGTTGCTATCAGGTCAAGTTGTCGCAGTTAAGAGGCTTAACACGTCAGACTCTAACGACATTCCAGCAATCAATCTCCAAAGTTTCGAGAATGAAATCCGAACTCTGACAAATGTCAGGCATAGGAATATCATTCGGCTATATGGGTTCTGTTCAAGGAAGGGATGCATCTTCTTGCTCTATGAATATTTAGAGAGAGGCAGCTTGGGAAAGGCATTGTATGGGGTTGATGGGGTAACTGAACTTGGATGGGCTACAAGGGTCAAAGTTGTGAAAGGATTAGCTCATGCACTTTCTTACTTGCACCATGACTGCTCTCCACCAATTGTGCACCGTGATGTAACTGTGAACAATGTATTGCTCGAGTCAGATTTCGAAGCCCGACTTTCTGATTTTGGAACAGCAAGACTGATTAGTGCCAATTCATCCAACTGGACCCATATTGTTGGCTCATTTGGTTACATGGCCCCAGGTAACATACCAATTTAATTTTGTTCATTTTTGGATCATATTTTGGTGACTGAGATATGTTTTGAAGATATTTGGTTTGTTTTTCTCTTCATGTGCAGAGCTTGCATTGACAATGCGAGTCACAGATAAGTGTGATGTGTACAGCTTTGGAGTGGTGGCACTGGAAGTGATGATGGGAAGGCACCCAGGGGATCTGCTAGAATCCCAGCTATCAGAATCATCAAAATCAATGAAGGAGAACAATACAGAGTTGCTTTTGAAGGATTTGTTAGACCAAAGGCTGGAGGCTCCAAACAATGAATTGGCAAAGGCAGTGGTGCTTGTGATGAGTTTAGCCTTGGGTTGTATACGTACGCGTCCCGGGTCTCGACCTACAATGCTTTATGTAGCACAAAAACTATCAGCTCATAGTCTGCCTTCCCTTCCTGAACCATTTGGCATGCTAACCATCAACAAGCTGATGGGGATATAAAACTAGAAGGAAAAAAAATAAAACTAGTTGGAAAGCTTTCTGTGTGTAAGAGAAATTCTTAATTATACCATGTATGTTAACATTAACATCTGCACCGTCCATTCTAAAAAAATAAAAATCTGCACCTTCCTAATTACTCATCTCTATTCTTTTTAGATTATATGTGTGTGACTCATTTACTAGCAATCCTTCTTTTCTTTTTGGATTATCTGTATTCTTTTTGGATTATATGTATATGCGTGACTCATTTACAAGCAATCTTTTTTTTTTAATTTTTTGGTAAATTTATTACTAGTATGTATATGCGTGAGTTATATTATACTTTAATTTTTTTATAAATATTTTTAATTATTAATAATAGTATACATAGATAGATAAAATTGAGGAGATTTTTTTCCTCATTTTCTTAACCAGACATTTTATAGTTATCTAAATATCTTGCACAATTTTCTTCAAAAAACGAACGGGTGATTTAGATTTAGGCCCAATAAACAACGGGTGTTCCACTAGCCCACTAGCCCACAGAAGATGCGAGCCAACGGATCTATTTGGCGGGAAGCAACGGGTCACGCGAGAGTGCCAGCTCATCTTTCCCGCCAGAGACCCCGATAAATACCGGAAAACCCCACATGGCCATTGCTTCTTCTTCTTCTTCTTCTCTGTGAGACTGTGAACCCTCAAAATCTCACCTTTCGATCGATTCCAAATCTCACATTTCTATTTGATCTCTGCAATGAGTTCCTTAGGAACCTTCAAATCCAAGACACCCAGAAGCCGAGAAAAGAAAGTCCTAGACCCAAAGCGCCAAATCTTAGGCAATGACACACTGAGCACCAAAACCCCTCAGAAATCTGAAAAAATCTCTGGACGAGCCCGAAACGGCAACGTCGCGTTCTCCATCGGCGACATCAGAAGAGCCGCCGCCAAAAGCCTCAGCGAGTCGAGCCAGAAGCGACGGACGGACCAGATCGATTCTTGGCCCGACGAAAGCCCAAAGAAGAAACGCGTCGGCCGCTCCGAGAAGCTACAGGAAAAGTAAGCGTTTGTGAATCTCAGTTGTCTGTTATATTTATGTGATCTGCTCCTGCATTTCTAGGTTGATTCTGATTTCTTCGATTTCCGGGTTGGCTTATTTCTTCTTTTTGTTTCTTGTTTGCAGATATGAAATATTGAGTGAGTTTTTCAATGGCTTGGACACTTCGATTCGGTTGTTGCGGTTGAGGGGTTTGAAGCCCAGTTTTAGCAATATTTGCCCCCAAATCGAGTGTTTGACGGATAGGTATACTAAATTAAATTTTCTTTTCAATTGATTGTTTGGTTGCTGAAGAAATGAAATTAGGCTATTATAGAAATTGATTGTCTCTTTATCTCGGTTTTTAGGAGGTTTACATGTGGTCACTTGGCTCAGCTGAAGTTTGTTTTACCTGAGGTGATTGAGATAAAGAAAGTTCTTGTTAAGGATGAGAGAACCAGTTGTCTTAAGCCTGATCTTCATGTCACCATCAATGTTGATGCACTAGAGAGTGATGGCAAGGCGAAATCTGAAGGTGGTGGGAGTATGCATTTGAGGAAGACATTCCGCAAACGGCTTGCAGATATTTCAAAATCCCATCCTGAGGTATACCCAATACTCACTTTCTGATACAACATTACTAATATGGTTTAATTTCTAAAGTATTCTTTGTTATTAAATTGATCTGGAATCTGGAAAGTTATTGGTGTTCTGGCATGACTTTGATTGAGCGTGCAGAGACTTTAAAGGACACAAGGATTTAGAATATAAATACTATATTAATTGATGTAACAGAAATAACTCTATGCACCTGGTTTCATTTGTTTAGTTTTTTCAAAAAGGTTATTCTTGCAGTTGGGTTCCTGTATTCAAAAAGGTTTTTATGAATATCAAGTTAGATTATGGTCCTGTTCTTGTGACTTCAACGTTTTATTTTTATCAATTTAACAATTTATTTTTTGAACCATTAATAGCATGCGGTCTAACGATGCTTAACATGCTTTCAGGATTATGAAATTCCAGAAGAAACTTTGCCTCAGCCATTCGATATTAGGAAGCAAGATATGCAATCAGATACAGGAAAACTTCCCTTGTCATCATCTCCTGGTGACATATTGACTGATATACACACAGTTGAGCAGCCAGCAATGTCAACAAGCTGCCTTCAGGGCGATGAAGTTCCAGAATCAAACGTCAATACAGTTTGCTCTGTTGGGGAAAGGAGTACTTGTGCTTCATTGTATGGCCAAGTGCCTGTAACTCCAACCAAAGGCATAGACCCCATAGAAAATGATGATTGTTTGCCCATACAAAGTGATAGCATTCAGTCGACTCCAGCAAAGCTTGCTTCAACTCCAGCTAGGTTGATGGCTGACACACCTGCATTGCACCGACCAAAGCGATGTTATATGAGCCCAGATGATAATTCAACTAGCTCGCCGAACAAGTTGGTTAGGCGTCCTCCGCGCTCCAGGTCTTTGAAATTTGACACTCCTGTGAAGAATAAAAATGTTGAGGATGAAGTTCCTGATATGGGTGGTGCATCAATCGATACTGACAGCCTCGATATTCTTCCAGAGGATCTTTTGCAATCGGTATGTCTATCATGAATTCTCCATTTTTTTTCCCTTATTGAGCATGCCTTCTATGTCTAGAATTCTGTGAAAGCTGTTGGAGCTTACTAATTCCATCTTACCTTAATCCACCTGCATAAAAGTATCATCTTTTTTTTTTTTTGGTCTCAAATGAAATGTCCAAAAGGAGCAGATTACACTTAAATGTAGACTGGACGTATGCTATCATCATTACATTTGGTGCTATTACCATTAATTATGGCAGCATGTGTTCGTAACAATGTGCATACATTGCTAGAAAGCTTTCTTACTTCTGCTAAAATGGTGTAGCATATTTAAACAAATATTTCCTGAATCCAGCCCACAATGTGTTCTTGTGCTCACTCTTTGTGTTCAACACAGATGCATTTAATTTTGCTCAATTTAGTCCTGAAAGTTATTGGGAACCATGTTATAGTTGAAACTCTTACGTGGTTGGAAATGTACTTCAGTCTCAATCTTCAAGCCTGCTTATTCCAAGTCTTTACATGTACTACCTGAACTTGAACATAATGAACTGTAATTCTGAGAAGAATATATCTTTCTGCAGCTTAGAGAAAAGGAGAGGAAGGCAATAGAGGAGCGAAATCCAGCCATCTCAGAAGCAAAGAGGCGGCGCCAGATGATTTCCAGCCTGCCTAAGCTCTTCAATATGATTCATTTCCTATTGCAGTCTATGAACCGTTCAGTTATCACAAAAGAGGAGCTTGTACACAAGCTAATCTGGACCAATTTTGATATTGTTGACAGAAGTAAGTCTTTAAATAAAAGCCGATAATATTTCTATGAAAGCTCATGGTGAGCCTAACTCTTTCTTTCTTCTTTTCGCAGAGGAAGTTCAAGAGCAGCTAAAATTGTTGCTAGAGCTGGTTCCCGATTGGATTTCTGAGAAACAGTTATCATCTGAAGCTGATTTGATTATGATCCAGTGAGTTTTCTCTATAGTTAGAAGTACAAATCATGCGCTTCTAGTGCATATGTATTTATCTTCTATTAAAAGGATAAACACTTGATAAAATTGTTTGATGTCATTACTTATGGTCTCTTGCAGCATTAATAAAATGTCAGATCCCGAGTCCATACGTGCAAGGCTTGAGGAAGCAAAGTGAGCTAGAGAATGCTAGAATTTTTGAAGTTGTACGAGAAGCATATTTAGAGATGTTGTACAATTTTCCCATTTCATTGGGCATCTTAGTGTTAGTTTATTATTGTTGATGTAAAGGACATCTGGGTGGCATAATCATGTAGGTAGAACGAAGGCCTTCTCCAAGAATGTTATTCACCAACAAGATTGTATAAATATCTATTTCCTTCCTTCCTGTTGTTTTTAGTTTTCGGTGTGGTTTGATATAATGCTGAAATCTCTTAGCAACATACAAAATGCTCCATCACAGGCTGATGGAATGTATACTCTCATCTCTAGTCAACTTCAAGCCTATGGTTTTTTACTTTTCTTGTCCACCGTGAAGGGAAGATATCAAATGCGGCAAATAATTGAAGCCTTTTTATATGGATCCTTAAAGATAATGTTCTTCTTTGCTCAAAATAAAAGGTGACTTCGATTACAAGTCAACTTGAAGCCTATTATGCCCCATCTTTAAATCACAACAAACAAAAAAATAATAATTAATGCCAGAGAGATTATAAAAGGCACAGTCTTTTTTCTTAAACCCTAAAAAAGATTGGCTTCTCTTCTCTCCCCATCGCTCGAGAAACAAGGATGAAAAACTTGTTGGAAAGCTCTGAACCGGAGGAGAACAACAGCGACGCTGGCCCAAGTGATACTGTATGCATTTCTCTTCTCTTATGGACTGTGTAAAATGAAGTTGATATGTTGTCTGTCAATGTTGAGATGCATGCTATAATAGCTTCCTTGGAAATGTTGGAATTCACTTTTCATCTCAAATTGTTGTATGACGGTTTTGCATATGCAATTGGACAATAAATTTTGAAGAATAAACACTTGATCAAATTGTGTGATGTTTATTACTTCTCGTTTCTTGCAGCATTAATAAAATGTCGATCGCTAGTCAATACGTGCAGCAAGGCTAGAAGAGGCAAAGTGAGCTAGAGAATGCTAGAAATTTTGAAGTTTACTTGTACGAGCAGCATATTTTGAAGATGGTGTACAATTTTCCCAAGCAACATTCAAAATGCTGAAATTTCTAAAGCAACGTACAAGCTGATTGCTATGAATCTTCTCTCATTAACTGCTCCTCTCTAGTCAAAATAGGCTGCTCTGACTGTGTATGTGTAAATTATTTTACAAGAAAAAGAATATATATTTTTATAAAGTCAATAGGGTTTTTCTAATTTTCTCCAGCGTGAAGATATCAAATCAAGGCAATTAATTGAAGACGATATTCTTCAACTTCAAGTATGGAAATGAGACTTCTGATATAGATAGACAATAAGCATCTCCATCTTTCAATTATAACAAAAACAAATCATTAATACTTCATAAGAAAATTGAACTCTATAAGCCTATTACACCCATATTTAATACAAATT